ACATTTAGACCGGTTAGAATCGGTAGGCCGTGTTCTTCGCGCGCGTCTCTTCCACGATCTGGAGGAACCGCGACGTCGTTTTACATCGCGCGAAAACCAAAACATCCGCGTCGTATTTTTTTTCAACTTTCTTTTCTATAGATCTTTTCCTTTCGACCAGTTTTGACCAGTTTTTTTGCTTTATTATAATGTCGTAACAATGCCGCAAGAGGTGTAATTGTTGTTAGAAGTAAAAGATTAATAATAACTGGCAATTTTCGGAAGTAACTCTCAGTAAGAAAAAAAAACGACGAAGAAAGAAAATTAACAAAACGTAATTCTTACTGTGTGTAAAGAATTGATCGGATTTGTTAAAAGTAAGACTAATACAATGAACATTAATCACTGAATATAGAATGTCACCGCAACGTCATCGACTATTATTAATGATTGTATTAAAGAAGTTTTGGATAGTTTTGGATAGCTGAGGATAGATTTCTGGATATAATGTCAATTATAACATGAGAAATTCAGTGAAGCATCTTTTTTTTATTCTGAAATCAAAGATCGTCTATTACAAATTGCAATCACGAAAATAAGTATCAAGGATAATGCTTTCGCACTCGTTTGCTTTCCCACTTTATTTACCGATAATTGTAACGAGCACTTGAAGGAGTAATTTAGACATCGAAAAGAACTTTCATTAGTAATTTTCAATATTAAAAAAGATACGATATTTGATATTTTAAGAATTTAACGCTTCTCCCTTGGAAAATGATACAGAAGAAGAACATAATTCTTTTTTTTTGAACATATCTGTCGAACTTCATAAACGTCTAGAAAAATCAGAAAATCGACAAGAATAGTTTTTCTCTCGTATAGTGTTTCTAAATAAAAGTCGCAGTTTCTTCTAGAATCGAGTCGATCGAAAAAATAGACAATGATAACATCACAACGAGTGGAAAAACCTCCAAAACTGGTATTACCGATTTCGTGATTACCATCGTCGTGTCAGCTGTCAACGATAACGCGACAGCCGTTATCGTAGCCGTGATTTTGAGATGTTGATGATGCAACTTCATCAATAAACGCTCGTACATCGTATTCGAGTACACTTACACGGGATACGATAATAATTGCTAGTGTATAGAAGCTACCCTGTGTTTACGGAGGACCTACTATTAGTGCAAACATGTATTACCCGTCCGGTTGTTCTCCCGTTTATGGCTGCTAAGTGATTTCAACCACGAGCACCTGTAGAAAGTGCCGACAAATTGAGCATTTACGAACGCGAAGAAGACGTCAACGTGCGTTGCGGGAATTTAGAGATTTTCTTCGACTCTTTGAGAATAATCCACTTCGACGAGCGAAAAATCAATTTGTTTTTCTATCCTGTATTGTATCCTCAACTTTTGTGTGGATAAGAAAAATAGTGATCGTTTGACAACTGTAGTGCAAGTAAATTTGGAATTTAAAAATTTGAATATTTTGTACAAATTATTCAAAGAATGAGAATCAGAAGCAGTTTCGCGAGAAGTATTTTTATTAAAAAATGAGGAAGTTGAAGAAAACCAAACGTAATTTCTCATACTAAGATTAAACGTAATCATCTTTGGTAATATTAACCCTTTATATCTAGAATTAAATTTTTCATGATCTTTTTATTAAATTTTTACGCTATTAGATGCCTTTTGGCTTACGTGTTGTACTATAAGTATTATGCTCGAAAGTCTCTATTTTTAATATTCAGTAATATTTAAATTCAGTAATTTCAAAGAATTACATGTATATATTTCATAATACAAGCGTTAATACACTAATACCTCACAGAGCCTGCGTTGTACAAAGTGCTATTTAAAATATAACAGATTCTCAAGACTTGTGAACTAGGTTGCATAAATGTGTCATCTTCCAGCGATTTACAAACGTTCATTTTACAAAACGATACTTTTTAAGTGCCGTCGGGATATAGAGGGTTGAACGTGGCCTGTTACATCCCGGGTAACGATATTACGTAATTAACGATGCGATCAGAATCGATCGATTTGATCGAGAAAAAGGGCCAGAGCTCGCACACACACGTCACACCGGCGAGTCAGTCGGCCAACAATCGGAGATCCGTGATTAATGGATGGCCGGTACACGCCGACGAATCCGGGGACCGCTTAGCGTGAAATTTACCTGATGAATTGTTCTCACAATTATCATGATCTACGGGTCCGTGGATCCGAGAAACACGAAAGTCTTGGTCTGGTCTGCTAATCTTTCTTCGGCGAACCCTTCACTTTGGCCCCCAGCATCCCCTCCGTCTCCTTCTCCTCCAGTGCTGCCTTTTACCGTGGCAGGGGCGGCCAGTTCACCCACACTCGCTGCCTATAACGATATTCTACTACTTTTCTACGGCACAAGGCGGCTAGCTGGCAGAAATCTCGGAAATTCTTTACGTCGATCGAGAAACTATAATTATCTTTTCGGGCTACGCGGCATGCAGTGAGTCGGTACGTAAGAAAAAACATCGTCGGCCGACGCATCGTTCATTTTTTTTCTCCCACGATCGAGCGTGTCTGTCGTTCAGTTTGGTCACGGAAGGAACCACCACCGCGATCTAGGTAAGAAAGGCTCGCCTTTGGTTGGATTACGCTACAGCACGACACACGAGGGTAAGTTTGATATTTGAGAAGGGACTGACTTTGTTAGTGAGGAGGAATTCACGTGGAGGCGTAGGAAGTATCTTTTGGCTAGGAAGTATCGTTGTTCGCCATTGTGACGCCTGTGCAAGTAGTTCTGTTTCTTCAAGCAAGTAACGAAGTATCTTTCTAGTAGAACTAGAAGGAGAAGCTTGGTATTCGAGGGAGAAGAAATTTTGTCAGTAAGGAGAAATTAAACGTTGAAATGCAAAAAGTATTTTTTCATACTTATCTTTGCAAGTAGTTCTACGGCAAATTGTCGTACTGTGTAACAAAAAAATTTCTAGCGAAAGCCTTCGTTATTAAAGGATTTCGCGATGCGACAAACTTTGCATTTTACATAGGTATTTCTAATAGGACAATTTTATACGTATAATATTCTGATCTCTACACTTTGATTAATTCAAAGATCTTCCACGATCACTCAACGATCTATCGTCAGAGATCTGTCGTAAGAAATAAGAGTGTAGGATAGTTTCTGGCCTAGAGCCGAGCGTGCTAGCAAAGGTGGAATTTTCACGGTCCAGCGTAAGGGGCCATTTCGAAGGAATGCGCCATCGTGGGGGAAGGGCTTGCAACTAGACGGGCTCTCGCGGTTCCTCTCAAAACGCTTTGCGAGATTGCAGAAGAATTTTGGACGTCCACGAGACGTGATTTATGGAGGACTTTCGGACGAGGTGGAAATAACTTTAACCGCTGTTGCCGTGATCACGGTCACGGTGATTTTATCTAATCAGCGGCGCGTTATTACCACGGATTAACGAAAATGGTACGTGTACTACTCGGCGCAGAAATAACGCCTCTCAAGACTGTACTCTCAGACTGCGTTTCCACGTCTTTTCACGATACATACTTGTTATCACTGAATAGATAAGTTACTTATTCTTTTATAAGTATACTTATAAAAGAATATATTATTATATACTTATAAGTAAACTTATTCTCTTATCTTTGAAGAGATTTGTGAAATAAAAGATTTGTGAAAGACAGATAAAATTTCGATTTGAATATTCAATGTAGCAAGAGTGACTGTTTATAATCTTATCGAAAATTAAAAATTATACTTTGGACTTAAGATAGGGATTAACGGCGGACATTACGGGATTATTGGTATAATTTTGATCTAATACATCTGAATAATGCGGCATATTTGTATTTGTTGGAAAGAGTAAAAAATTTTCCGATGGTTTGTAGTTCTTTCAGAATTTACGCGCAATGATGGACAGAAGAAAGTTCAAAAGATAAACGACGAGAAACAGTCTATAATTTTATAAAATGGAATCATATTTAACAAGAGTAGGTGAATAGATAATTGTTGTTAATATTGACAAAATTAACGTACACATGTATCATAATATAGATAACTTTAAACTTTGATTTGTCTCTCAAAACAAGTTATTGTTAGTTCCGTACAGAGTTGAACATGAAATGAAACGAACGATAATCATACTTCGTTCAAGTCACAATAATGAAAAAGATAAAAACCAAGGAACCCTATCGGCTGCCTTTCGTATCATCCAATGGCAACTAAGCTAACGTCGATTTCACGTTTCATAATATCACGCCGGTTATCTGTCTTCTCGTCTTAATCAGCAGCATCATAAGCGATTTGGTAGGAGGCGATCGAGCAATCGATGGAATTTCTCGACGTCGATAACGAGGGGTTCCTATGCACAGGGATTGATTGTTGCTCGTTCATGGGAGCGACCAGGCTACTTCATTTAAAGTAGAGTGTCACGCGGATAGCCGAAATTAGGGTTATAATCCCCCCTCGTGCCATCTGATACGCGTCTCCCTCGGCCTCGTCCCTGTGCTCGTTCTACTCGCTATTTACCGATAGTATTTTAACCCTCGATTTGTCGTCAACAGCTTTCGGGAGCCCATTGGGAATCTGGCCGCTTAGTTTTTGTGCGGCAGCCGCGGGAACGACATGTGCCGATTATCGTTGCTAGACGCTCGGTACCGGAGGCGGGCGAATCTTCGCTCGAGGTATCGATAATTTGTTTCTTGCGTCACACCAGCCACCGGCGTAATTGCCACGTACGCGTATCGATAGCCGCGATGTTACGCCTAATAGCCGGTGGTTTCGTCCGTTTCGACTCGCACCATCGAGAAACGCGAGATCTCGTCAATGATAAATGATATTCAATAAATAGTTCCGCTTATGCTTCCTGGCGACCAGCTGTAAATCTTCGCCCGTGTCCTCGCGGCGGTTCCCCGTTTCTTTCTTCCACATGCTTCCTCTCGCGATACGAGTTTAACCGATTGATCGAGATTCCGAGTTTGATATCGCCCGTACGAATTATTTATTTCTGTAAATGATAGCTTGCGAGGAACAAGTTATGATGATGATTTTGAAAAAAAATGTTGATCTTGGTAACTTGTATCGCATCTTTAGCTTATAATGTATTTTGGTATGCTGTTCTGTTACGTTTCGTACAGATTTTCGTATTTCATTTGCATTTTATCTTGTTAGACTTTGTATAGATAATTTGATTTCTACTGTTTTGAAAAAGAGTCAGGTTCCTGTGCTGTAAAGTAAATCGTTGAACACGAAGCTATATACCACAAACAGAATTATACGTCAAAAAATTGATACTATAATTAGATATCAATCGTTTGATATCTTTTAAACTATCGATTGCGTTCAAAGAATTCTACTATTCTTTTATTCCAGCTACTCTGTTCTCTTTAATTGCAGGAATGTGTCAAACAAAGAAAACTTCTCCTTTCTTTTCTATTACAATGTTTCTCAGAATTTGAATTGCATCTGAATCTAAAAATTTTCAAAAAATACGACGCACCACAAACGAATACTGTCTGTCCCAATGTTTAATATTTTTTCAATATATCCTCCATTCTATAACATTTCTCGACAAAGCGAAAGGAACACGGGATTCTTCGAGTTCCCCCGCAATTCGGTAATATTATCTTGCATGATACGTGACAAGGTATACCGGTGTACACCGTACACAGGTGGAATATGCAAAAGGAATACGGAGGAACGATTCGAAACGACGACCAGGAGGAGAACAAAGAGAACGTCACGGTTGATATGACCCTAAGCGGGTATCGATCGCCGTTCTTTCTGGCGGAGCGGGCGCAACCAGCCAGGATATTTTGATAATTCCCTTTTTTGAACGCGATACTCCGCAGCGTGTAATGCGGAAGAGATCAAAGGCGTCAGTAGCACCTGTCCTCTAACCCCCGTCTTGTCATCCAGTAGAATTACGCCAGGAGGCTGGGGATCCCAACGGATTCTCTCTCTTTCCCTACCCACGCTTTCTTCTCTTTCTCTGCCTTTCCCTCTCTCTGCCTTCGCTCCAAATTCTGCTCCGCATGAAATTTTTCTTTCGCTTTCCCTCTGCATCTATTGTCGCCGTTCTATCACCCCTTTGTCGTCCTTCTTCCTCGATTCTTTCCTCCGATTCTTCGCCCACTGTCTCTCTTTTATCCTTCGCTCCACCCTTCCTTCCATCCAACGAGATTGTCCGTTTCCGTTTGTTCGTACCTGTACGCGCGTATGGTTTGATCAGTCTTTCCGAACGAGAGAAAGAGAGATAGAGAAACAGTGATTGTCTTCGTTCGGTGTACTCCACGTCCCTACCTGGATTAAACTACAATTATTTTTATTGAATGACCCGGAGCTCCCGTTGGCAATGCTCACCATTCGCGATTCTTTCATTTGCAAACCCTCTGTGAGATCAGTCGCCATCTCGTCCATTTCTCATTTACACTTTCGTTAAAAGATCTGGATGATCGATTTTAACAAAGTTTGGATAAGATGGAAGGAGAAATAAGAAAGAGAATAAATTTGTAATATAGATTACAGATTTAAAGGAATTTAGAATGATGTTCGATTCTCGGGAGTCACTGATAAAGCAACATATATAAAATATTTGCAGGTTTAAAATAATTCATGATATCTGAAAAGTGATTCACTTTAGGATTAATCGAAGACTGGTGCAAAGACTGATTAAGTGCAGATTTCGAAAGCTGTGAGAAATTAAGAAAGATTGAATTATACCTACGAAGAGTTACATTTTGATTTTTATACCAAAATGTTGGAAATTACTAAGAATACCAAATCTTTAGTTTTAGAAAACAAGTGGTTTCTGATTCTTCGAATCTTTTTGTAGTACCACTTACTTGAGTCATTTTAAAAGTAGGAAGTGATAGAACGGTATTAAATTTCCGGAGAATAAATCTAGAAATTTTAGAAAGTCTGTGAAAGCTCTGAATATAGAAGGATTCTTCTTCCTAAAGTAAATCCAAAAGTTGTTTCAAATGCATATCGGACTTTAATCCCTTGTTAATTTTTGAATTTCTTAATTAAACACTTTGGCTCAATACTCGCGTTTTGACTCACGTGTCTCGTGTTTCACTCAGCTTATGAAACGCGTCAATCAGTCGAGTCGGCAGAAACGAAAGATAAGACCCGGCATTTGGCGACCGGACCTCGCTCGATAACGCTCGCACGCGGTTGGATAATAAGCTTGGCGTGTATCCCTTTCACGTTGGAATTGCGAAGCGGGCTCGCATTCAATTTCACCAGACAAGATCTCCTGTGTCATCCGCGAGACAACAGCGCGGGATTCATCGTACGTCTTGTGTGCCAACATTTGCACAGCGCATCGACAAAGACGTCGGCAGGGGGGGGGGGCGATTCGCGGTGCCACCAACTCGATGCACCAACGAGTTCAAATAACTTCAGCGAGCATAAGTCATCCGTAAGGCCCGAGGCCCCGCGGCCGTGGCTACCCTAGAATTATCGCTAAACGTTATTGCTTAGCCTCCATAGATCTTGCGTATAAAATGCTAGGTTATCCTTGGCCGTTTATGTGTGGTTAGAGAGAAGCGAGGGTGGAATCTATGTCGGCCTGGGCCGAGTCTAGAATTTCGTTTCGAACCGCTTTTCGTTCAACCGCTTGGGTCTCTCCGCGGATTTCGGCGATCCTCTCCTCGCCATGCTTTCAACTGTGCTGTTTTTCAAGCTCATCCCATTTCATTTAGAGTGTTTCAGGGTTACGGCTAGCGTCCGGCGTACGCGCGGCTAGGTATTATTGATTTTAACGAACTCGCGAGGAGCAGGAAGTAGGTATCGTCGGTACGTCTCGTTCCCCCCCCCCCTCCCCGAGTTATCGATAATATTTGTTTTGCCATTTTTTACATGTCGTTTCGCGAAACGGCAAATATTTAGGTACGCGGAAAAAATTCCGCCAGCACGGGCAGTTTTCGTTGCTCCTCCGCGTTCGGACTTCCGCCGGCTTTAAATTCGCAACAGAGGCGAGCAATTAATGCCCTTAAACGCGTTAAACGATCGCGTCTCATCGTTATCTACTTCGTGGCTCGTTCTCGTCGTTCCCTGGCAAATGATATAAAGCACAGGAACGCTTTGGATCTCGGCCGCGAGACATTAACTCGTTT